ACTGTCTAATAAATTATGACATATAATATTTGTGATCTGTGACTTATAAATTTTTTTATTCGTGATCCAAAAATAATATGTCACTTATAAAATTTTTGACTTGTGACCGAAAAATAAGTTGTGACTAACAATTTGATAAATTGTAACTAAAAATTAATCCGTAATTAATTAATTTTTTTATTAATGATCGATAAACAAATTGTGATCTACAAAATTTTTGAATTGTGATTGTAAAATAATTTGTGATATGTACGTAGTAATAAGTTGGAATAATTAAATTGTTAATCCGTGACCGATAATTTGATAATTTGTGACTATATAAGAAGTTGTGACTTGTAATATTTGTGATTTGTGATCAATAAATAAATTGTGACTTATAAAATTTTCGATTTGTGATCGATGAACAAACTGACCTATAAATTTTTTAAATTGTGACGTAAAATAATTTGTGACATCAAATTTCTGATTTGTGACCAAAAAATAATAAGTGAAGAATTAAATTGTTAATTTGTGATCAAATTATATAAATCTGTGACTTAAATTAATTCGTGACTAAAATTAATAAATAATACATGACTTAAAAATTGTGTTTGTGACTTATAATTTATTGAGTTGTGACCGAAAAATTAATCTGTGACCTATAAAATTTTTGATTTGTGATCGAAAAATAATATGTGACTTATAAAATTTATGTTTATGACTTATAATTTATTGAGTTGTGATTGAAAAATTAATCTGTGATCTATAAAATTTTTGATTCGTGATCGAAAAATAATATGTGACCTATAAAATTTTTAATTTGTGACCGAAAAATTAATCTGTGACCTATAAAATTTTTAATTTGTGACCGAAAAATAAGTTGTGACCAATAATATGATAAGTCGTGACTAATTATTTTTGAATTTGTGACCAATAAACAAACTGTGACTCACAAAATTTTTGAATTGTGATCGTAAAAAAATTTGTGACATAAAATTTTTTATTTGTGACCAAAAAATAATAAGTAACTAATTATATTGTTAATTTGTGACCAAATTGTATAGATCCGTGACCTAAATATATTTAATTAATAAAATAATTAATTAACTAATTAAATTATAAATAATTTTTAATAAAAATCTGATTTTAGAAATTTGAAATTTGTTTTCTTATTTTTGAAATGTACCATAAATAATTTATTAGTTATGAAATTTTCCTATTCAAATTCAACCCCAAGCCTAGTTCCAAGCCCAACCAGACCCAATTGAAAAACAAACCCAATTATATTGAAACCCAACACATTTCCCTCCAAAACCCAAATCATATTTGGACCTAACTCAACACAAATCCATCTTCCCAAACCCAAATCCATCAAAAACCAACTTAAATTAAAACCCGAATTCAAATTCCAATAGGAAAAATTACGTAGAAAACCTACCTTTAAAGACTAGTTTTGAGAAATAAGGGGAGTTAATTTTCATTTCACAAATCAAGTAGTAAATAGAAATTATTAAATTAATTAATACATGATTAATAATAGAAAACGTTTTATATATCCACCCCACCCAACAGAACCACCCACTCAAATCAATCTTTTTTCTCTCTCCTCTAGTTTTCTGTTATAACCCTAATGTCAAATTTCCTCTCGAATAAATTCTCCTCTTACTCTGTTCTTTCACTTGCAGTAGCAAAAGCTAGTAGAATCTCATAGAAAAAATGACAGGTGACGGAGAATGAGCGTTGAAGGAGGTGAAATCGAAGGCTGAGCTTGATCAAACCGTTGGGAAGGGCTCTTCGATCATTCTACAATTCTTGGTGTCACGGTGCAAGGACTTCAAGCACATGGACCAAGTTTTCTCTCATCTCTCCACTGATTTTCCCCTCACCCACTTCCTCGAGATTTATACTTACCCATTTTCTATATCTCTTTCCGAAACACACACAAAAATAGTTTATGCCAATATTATTTTTTTGCTATTTTCAATTTTGATCTGATTTTTGTTTTTATTGGTGAATATATTAGATCTCTTTCCTTTGCTTGTTTCATTTTTTTTTTGAATTTAATATGAGGAATTCAAACATTATTAGTCAATAAAGTAAGAAAAGGTGGTGGAGAAGACAGAGAAAAGGGATGGTTGATTGTTGATATAAATGTTTATAAGCAATGGATTCCAAGAAATGTGTGAGGTGGTGCCGCTGTGGAGCAACGACTAATTGTTGATATGTCGATGGAGAAGACAGATGAGAAGGGAACAGATTGTGTTGTCATTTCGAAATTCTGTTTTGTGGATTTTTATTTGTGTTAAGCAAAATGGAGGAGAGTGTTACCATGTAAACGGTGCATGCATCTTTTTTACTTGTAACTTTTGGGTAGGAAATGGTTCAACTCTCTGTGATTAGAATCTGACGGTTGAGAATGAAAGTTATGATGTATTAGTAAAGCCTTATCCATTATCAACGTGTTTGGGGGGTGCGATGGACCTACAAACAATTTGCTTTTACAAATTTTGATTACAGAGAGTCACAATTAACACATAAAATATTACAAGTAGTCACAATTAATAAAAAAATTGGTTGCAAAAGTCATTTTTCACAAATTAGATCACAAAATAGTGTTAATATAGACAGTCACAATGAAGGCATTACAAGTCACAAATATTCACTGAAAAAACAGACCTAGTCATAGATAGTCACAGGTAACAAAAATTTGCCACAAAGAGTCACAATTAATACATAAAATGTCACAAATAATCACAATTAATATAAATTTGGTCACACAATTAATTAGATAATTTGTGACCGTGAAATAAGATGTGGCTTATTTTATTTTATTTGTGACTTAAAAATAAGTCGTGATCAACTAATTTGAAAAATAATTTAGATATAAGTTGTGATTTATAAAACTTGTGATTTGTAACTGAGAAATAACTTATGACCAATTAATTTGATAAATTGTAACTAATAAATAAGTTGTGACATATAAAATTTATGACTTTGACATGCTATGTTTTTTATTAATACATAACTGTGACCGTAAACTGTATGATGATGTGACATTATTTAATTAATTTGATAAATTAGGAATAAGATATAACTTATGATTTATTGACTGTGAGTTTTATGTTGTATATAATCAAGTTCAATATAACCATGACTATTTGTGGTTAGGTCTGTGTAAATAGTTGTGGTTTGTGTCATATCTATATAAGACGTTATTGTTTGTGACCAAAATTGTGTTATCTGTGATTTGTGACTAATTTTGTATTCATTATAACTATTTTGATCATGTTCATCTTAACCGTGATTGTAGGTGACCAAATTTGTGTTAAAAATGACGTGCGTAACTAGACCTCTACTAACGATTAATGTTTGTGACAATATGTTTACATTTGAAAATTTGTGACAATTTATATGTTAACTGTGAACCCCCTATGACCAAAGTCTATGTTAATTGTGACTCCCTATGATCAAGTTCATGTTAACTGTGACCTATTCTGCCAAGTTTGTCTCCATTGTGACTATTTATGACTAGATTGCCTTCTTTATAACTTTCAAGCCTCTGTCATTTCTCACATACTTTGGTGCTAAAACAACATTATTTGAGAGGTTTACTCCACGGTCAAATAAAATGTCACTTCTATTATTCATCTAAAACATTTCATATAATTGGCGTGAGCACCAGCTCCATTCCAATCCCCTGGTAATAAACACGAATAAAAAGACAAACCAAAATTCTACTATGCTTTGGGTAGAATTATTGTACTGCAAGAATTATTGTACAACCACCTACACTAACAACCAGTCACCTCACTAGCATTGCCACCATCGCAATTACAAACTCACCACTACCACATCGTCGCACCAGTAAACCTCGACACCACAGCAAACATGATAAAGAGAAAATAAATGTAAATAAGAAATAAACCCAAATTTCCCTATATCAACTAATTGAGTGTTTTACCTAACTACTAAAAAATCTCAAAACCTTATTCCCAGACCAGATCCATCTCCAAAAGGTCCACCCCAAATCGCACAAAATGCTACCCAAATCAAAAATCCATATTGTTTCCGCCAACACCGATGGCGCCACCTCCCAATCTTAAAAGTCCTTGTCGCGCACAGTGGTATAACAATCGATCGGCGCTGCAACGAAATTTTCATAGTGTAAAGCGGCCACTATGGACAGTGGCGCCATCGCAACTACATCGCTCACGCTAGCACAGCAATGTTATCATTGCAGTTGTGCTCTTCCTTTCCAGTGGTTGAGAGAGAGAGAGAGAGAGAGAGAGAGAGAATTTGTTTAGGGTTCGAGGGTGGGGATGGGATGGATAAATGGATTAATTTAATTTTATAATATTATTTATTAATTTTAAAAAATTTATTTAACACCTGAATTTTGAAATATTTTAACAAGATTGTTAGATTTGAAATGTAATTGTTATAGTGTAGTACTTGTGTAATTTTCCTGTTCAAATACTACCCAAATTAACCCACAAGCTTGATTACAACCCAACTCTATTTAAATTCAAACCCAAATCTAATGAAACCCAGCCCATATCTCTCTGAACCCAAACTCAAATTTGGACATAACCCAATACAAATCCATACAGAAGCCAACTTAAGTCTAATTCCAAACCCAACCCAACCCAATTAAAAACAAACCCAAATATATTAAAACCCAACGTATTTCCTTCCATAACCCAACCCAACCCAACCCAACCCAAATCCATCAAAACCCAACTCTAATTCTAACAAAGTTCAAATTCAAACCCTAAGCCTAATTTCAAACCCAACCCAATTAAAAACAATCCCAAATATATTAAAACCCAACCCATATCCCTCAAAAAATGAAAATCAAATTTAGAACCATAAGCCCCACACCCAACTCAAATTAAAACCCAAATTGAAATTCAAACCCTACCCAAATTAAACCCAAACTGAAACCCAAATGTATTGAGAACCCACCCTTTTCCTAAATCACTTTCTCTCTCTAGACCAAAACGCTCTCCCTTCTCTGTAGAATGGGAGACAAATCACAAACCTTCAAGAATCTCAACCCACCACCCGATATACCACCTTTACCTGGTGGATTTCAACCCCAAACAACCAAAAATCATCCAGGTCTTGAACCCATAACAGTTTTGGAGGCAATACAATCTGATTTGTGTGAAAATATTGATGACACGAATCCCAATGTTGCCAAAACTCCATTACCTACTGGCACTAGCTCACATGCTCAGACCCAGCCATCTGTTCCTCCAGTTGCTCCTCCCTCTGCTACAGCCTTACCAGTTATCAATGTTGTAGATCCAGTTACATCTACCACTCCTTCAGCTCCTGCTCTGGCTATCAGTCCACCTATCACTCCATTTTATGATCCTATGTTGGATGAGATGTTGAAGAGGCCACAGACACAGAATTCTATAGCAGACACAGTCAGCAGAGCTTCTTACATTCCAGGCCCGACACCGGGTAGGGCTCCGACACCTATTTCCACTTCTTCTCCTCCTGTTTGTCATCAGAATGTGGAGGCATCTATTCCATCTTTGCAGTCAGCGCATTCAGATACAGAGGGCTCACCTCAGATTGAGGTTCACCAGCAGGGACCTTTTCGAAGATCTTCTTCTGATGACTTGGTGGGTTTGGATGAGAGGACAGAGGAAGATGGATTTATCCCAGTTGTTCGGAAGAGACACCCACAGGCTACTGATACTCCACATCCGAGCAGAAGGATCACTCGGAGTCAGTCACATGATACCTCCTCACATTCTCCTTCCCTATGAATGCCATCATTTGGAATGTGAGAGGTGTAGCTATTGTAGCTACTCGTCGGCGCCTGAAGAAACTTATACAGTTTCATCAGGTTTATCTTCTAGTTCTATTGGACCCTTTTGTTCTGCGGCAGAATTTTGCATATACACGACGCTATCTGCGCTTCGACATGGGAGCTCAGAATGAATCGAATAAGATCTGATTTTTCTGGAAGTTGGGGACTAATGTTACTGTTATTGTTGATCATCCCCAGTTTCTTCACGTTAGAGTTGAGGATCCCAGACTAGCGCGTGCTATCTATTTGACTCCAGTCTATGCGTCATGCGATGCTACTATCAGGAGAGATTTGTGGGCGGGTCTTCACACATCTCCCTCGATATGGACGATCCTTGGCTAGTTGGAGGAGACTTTAATGTTATTACACATGATGGAGAGCGCACTGGTCATAATACTTGTAATCGTGGCATTACTGCTTTCTCTGATATGATGTTAGACTATGGTTTAGAGGATGTGGGTTTCATTGGAAACCGATATACTTGGACCAATGGTCGGGTTAGAAAGAGATTGGATATGGTACTTATTAATTCTACAGCTGCAGCTTTTTGTCGACAGCTTACAGTGAGACACTTGAATCGGACTTCATCCGATCACTCTCCTTTACTGCTTCAGTGGGTTTCTGATGATGATTTGGGGCCTAGACCATTCAGATTCCTCAATGTTTGGACCAAGCACCATGATTTTTTAGCCTTTGTCTCCCAGAAGTGGTCGCTCCCTACTCATCTCACAGGGATGACCGCTCTTTGGGAGAAGTTCTTTAGGCTGAAATAGGGTCTGCGCTGGTGGAACCGACATGTATTTGGAGATATTTTCCAGCGGGTGCGCGATACTGAGGTCGGGGTTGATGAGGCTGAGATAATATATGATAGAGATTCTACACCTGAGCACTGTAACTTACTACATTAGGCCCAGACAGTTTTGAACCGGACCTTGTCTATTGAGGAGGGCTTTTGGAAGCAAAAGGCCGGTTCACGTTGGGCATGTGAGGGTGATCACAATACTCGATATTTTCATGCGATGGTTCAGGGGCGTAGGATCAAATCGCGTATCAGGTCTATCAGGACACAGGCGGGGGAAGTGTTATCTACTCCTACTGATATTCAGACCTCGGCTGTTGCTTTCTACAGGATCTCTTATCTGCTCCTCCACAACCCTTGGACCACATCCATTCTGATGTCATTCCGAGGCTATTGACGGTGGATGATAATCTGGCACTAAATCGCCCCCCTTTGATTCATGAAGTACGGGAGGCAGTTTTCAGTATTGATGCTGACAGTGTCACTGGTCCGGATGGCTTCTCATCCCTATTCTTCCAGCATTGCTGGGATATCATTCAGGAGGATGTTTACAGGGCGGTATTGGATTTCTTTGATGGTGGTCATCTTCCACAGGGTTTTGCTGCTACTTCTATTGTCTTGCTACCTAAGAAGGATGGTGCTTGCAGATGGACTGAATTCAGACCAATCAGTTTATGCACAGTGTTCAATAAGATTATTACTAAGCTTTTGAACACTCGGTTGAGTACACTGCTACCGCGCATTATTTCCTCTCCACAGAGTGGTTTCATCCCAGGCCGTCTGATTGGAGATAATGTTTTATTGGCTCAGGAGCTTCTCTACACTTTGGATGATAGAGTGCGAGGGGGAAACACTATGCTGAAGTTAGACATGGCTAAAGCATATGATCGCATGGACTGGGGCTTCATTTATTCTGTATTGGAGGCATTTGGATTTGATCAGATCTGGATTGACAGAATCAGGCGGTGCGTTTCGGAGTGTCGTTTCTCCGTACTCCTAAATGGCCGCCCATGTGGTTTCTTTCCCTCCTCACGAGGACTCAGACAGGGTGATCCTATCTCCCCATCCTTGTTCATCATTGCAGCAGACTACTTCTCACGCTTGCTCACTCAGAGGTTTCAGCAGTATCCCAGTATGTGTTATCGACATGGAGGTAGTGCTCTTGTCTCACATCTCTCATTTGCTGACGATATGATCATCTTTGCCAACGGTCAGAAACAGTCTATCAGGAGGGTCTTAGACTGCTTGGAGCACAGGGAGGCCTCGGCTTTAGGAGATTACAGGATGTGGTGGACACCTTCTCCATGAAGCTCTGGTGGCTGTTCCGATCTCAGAGGTTGCTTTGGGCTCAGTTTTTACTGGGCAAGTATTGTAAGGGGACGCATCCTTTACTTGCAGCAGTTCCCCTACCTGGAAGAGGCTGAAATCAGTTGGCCTACGGACGGATCCACACATTGCTTGGCACCTTGGAACCGGTCAGATTTTCTTCTGGCATGATTGTTGGATGGGCGAGTCCACGTTGGCATCCCTATTCCCCCACAGACAGCACACATCTGCGAGGGTACAGGATTTTTTTGACGACACTGGGTGGGATTTTGGACGATTATTACAGGCCCTTCGTTCTCACATGGCAGAACAGGTAGGGACGATACCCTTATGTGCAGATGCCACGGACTGAATTGTATGGAAAATTACTTCGAATGGTGACTTTACCACCAAATCAGCATGGCAACTAGTCCGTTCGGTTCGCCAGCCTCAGGACTCATATCGACTGCTGTGGAGCTTTATCTTGCCTGCCACTATTTCATTCTTCTGCTGGAGACTGTGGCAGGATCTCATTCCAGTAGATGTTGTTATTCAGAGGAGAATTGGATGTTAGTTGGCTTCTCGTTGTCAGTGTTGTTCCGAGATTGAAACCATCAATCATATTTTCACGAGCAGCAGCATCTCCGACCAGGTATGGCAGCACTTTGGAGACATCTTTCAGATACCTATAACTTCAGGAGAGGGGGTCAGACAGAGGTTCCAGAGATGGCGGTATTCTGGACAGCACATTTACCGTCGACACATTCGTATTATCATTCCTCTACTGATATTTTGGTTTCTATGGACTGAGAGGAATGATGCGAAGCATAGAGGTATTTGTATGGTGGCCAGACGTATTATTTGGAGGGTCTACCGCATGATCTCCTTTCTTCATATGGGAGGACTATTCCGAGTTGAGTATTGGCGAGGAGATGTGACACTTGCACCTTTTTTTGGCATTTCTTTGACCCGTCCTCTCTCACCACCACCTATTATGGTTGTTTGGCGCACTCCACCAGTTGGATCCTACAAGATCAACACTGATGGATGCGTCAAAGATGGATTTGCAAGCGGTGGAGGCATCATTAGGGACCACGCAGGATACTGTATTGGGGCATTCTCAGCATCGTATGGCCCATGTTTCATTTGGAGGCTGAACTTAGAGCCATACTAGATGGGCTTCTATTGGCCAGAGGACTTGGGATTTCAGCTATCTGGCTCGAGGCAGATTCAACATTGGCTATTCACTGCATTACCAAAGGTGGAGGACCATGGTTGATTCAGGGTATTCTTAGACAGATAAGAGACCTCATCTACTTCGATAGAGACACGGTTTCACACATCTACAGAGAAGGCAACCAGGTTGCTGATTCTCTTGCTACAGAAGGCTGGAATCATCGGCGTTATCTAGAGTATGGACCACTAGAACTGCCTCGACATATTAGGGCGATAGTGCGGATCGACAAACATGGATTGCCCAGTTTCAGAGGTTCGTAATTTAGGCTATTCTTTATTGTATAGGGAAGTAGTACTTCCTCATTTATTGTTTTCATTTATTATATTCATTTGTTGCATCACTGCTTTTTGGAGGTCAGGTTCATGCCCCCCTCCTTCCGTGTATTCTTGATTTTTATGAAATAAATATGGTTGGGGAACCCTTAACCCCCATCGACCTTCCTTGGCGGACCCTAAAAAGTCACTAAGGATGTGTGGATGTCTTTACCCAAAAAAAAAAAAAAAAAAAAAAAACCAAATGTATTGAGATGCATATCCCTCCAAACCTAACTCAAATTCTGACCAAACCCAACACAAATCCATACTGAAGTACATCCAAACCCAAAGTCATCAAAACACAACTCCAATTAAAACTACTTCAATGAAGGATTGCATCCCTACAATAATCTAGTGTTTTTGAGACACCTAAGATTTAAGCTTATGCCATCAAAGATGATAATATATATGACCCCTATGGCACTTGCCAATTTGTTGAATATTTTTTCAAAATTAATGGAATGATAATGAGCTAATTATTGGGCTCAATTGTGGAATCAGTGGAATAAAAAAAATTGAAAAATGGAAACTTTGATTTTTGCCCATGCGTACACATAGGCTTAATTTTGTGCGTACGTAAGATGTTTTTTGGCCAAATCAAAATCAAATTTGCTTCTACTATACGTACGCAAGATTTATACTATGGTACGTATAATGTTAAAAATAGCCGTTAACTGATTTTTCAATTTGAAACTTGATGACCTTTTTGGATGAAAAAGTTGCCACTTTCATTATGTTTTGGCATAATTTCGTAGTGTATCGATTGAGGCCTATAAATATGTGATGAATGATCAATACAAACACATGAAAAACATATTGAAGATCATTCATTCCATTAGTGAAGATCAAAACTTCTCACATTCAAAATCCTTTTGTGTTCTTGAAGGTTTGGTAGAAAACACTGAGTGTTTAAGTGTTTCTCTATTACAAGGCTTGATTAATTCTTTAAACCATTGCCAAGAGTCCCTTTAAGCATCTAATTCAATCCTAAAGAGGGCAAATATCGTTTGAAAACTACGATTTTCATGTTTGAGCCTTCATTGTGATTCCGGTGATTTCTTTATTGTTTCTTCATTCTTGGTTCTTTGTTTCTTCTCCTTCCCACCATTCTCTATAAATCTGTATCAACTCTTTCAAAGCTAATCAAGGTGTCATTGTTTTCTAAATGCATGGACTAATAATTTTATGACTTGCTTACTTGTGTGGTCTAATTATCTGGTCTCATTATCTCAACAGGTGTATCAAGATATTGCAGAAGGTATTTTATTGATTCAATTTCACTTTTCTGACATACATCCTGT